AAAAAAAAAAAAAAAAACTACCCTGTTGAGTCACCTGAGATCAGGAGTTCAAGACCAGCCTGACCAACATGGAGAAACCCTCTCTACGAAAACAAAATTAGCTGGGCGTGGTCATGAGTGCCTGTATTCCCAGCTACTTGGGAGGCTAAGAAAATCACTTGAGCCTGGCAGGAGGAGGCTATGGGGAGCCAAGATCGCACCATTGCATTCCAGCCTGGAAAACCAGAGTAAAACTCCATCTCAAAAAATAAAAATAAAAAAACTTTGAGAACTACTATCAAAGAAAAAATAAAATAAATAAAAAATAAAAAAACTACCCTGTACCCACCAGACCTATGAACCCACTATCTGTAGTATCCATGCTACAGATAAAGACCACAAAGCCCTGAAGTCCTCTTTTGGAGGCCTTGGGCAGCTATGCAAACTAGGCCACAAGTGGAGAAAGCTATATTCTGCATTCATACTGTCTCCTGAGCCACAGTTTACCTGTGCTGTCCTTCAAGGTAGAAGGACCCAGGCAAGAGTGCAGTGGCACCATCTCAATTCACTGCATCCTCCACCTCCTGGGTTCAAGCGATGTTTCTGCCTCAGCCTCCAAGTAGGTGGGACCACAGGCACACACCACCATATCTGGCTAATTTTTGTATTTTTAGCAGAGACGGGATTTCACCATATTGGCCAGGCTCATTTGAACTCCTGACCTCGTGATCCCCCCACCTTGGCCTCCCAAAGTGCTGGGATTACAGGCTTAAGCCACCGCACCGGCCAAAGTAGTCCAAATTTTCAAGTCAGCACAAGAGTCCTACGGGACAAAAATGGGGAAGGTCCACAGAAAAAAATGGAAAAGGAAGAAGTGCTGAGGATATTGAACAAATATTTCTGTGACTAGATCAGGAATTAAAAATTAAAGAAATCAAAAAGATTTCTTTTTTTGATTTTGAGACCAGCCTGTGCAGCACAGCAAGATTCTAACTCTACGAAAAAATAGAAATGTAAAAACTTAACGAGGTAGGTGAATGATGCAATGTGAGCACCTACCATGTGGCCGAGGCATAATGGCTTTTGCCAGAGAAGTGGTAGTCACTTAAGTCTAGCAAGATAATAGGGCAAAGTAAAAACTGCAATGCAGCTGCCACATACATGGAATTTTTGCTGATTTCCAATGTATGACAGTCAATCTAGGCACATGGTACCCTTAAAGATCTCCTACAATATTACAATGAAAAACACATAATTGGCTGGACACAGTGGCTCATGCCTCTAATCCCAGCACTTTCAGATGCTGAGACAACAACCTAGGAAACATGGTAAAACCCTACCTCTACTAATACAAGAAAATAGCCAGGTGTGGTGGTAGGTGCCTGTGGACCCAGCTACATGGAGGCTGAAGTGAGCTATGATCGCACCACTGCACTCCAGCCTGGGTGACAAAGACCCTGTATCCAAAAAAAAAAGAAAAAATAATAACAATCCCTATAAATCGACAGTGTTTTTCTCATGTCAATGTTCTAGGATCCAATGAGAGAAGGCAGAAGGCTTTTTGGCAAATATTTCCCTCAAAAGGCATTTTCATAGGGAAGGCTCTTCCGTGAGTTATGAAGCTAGACTTCTGGATAAATATCCTGTATTTGTCAAACAAGTAAGGCCTTGATCTAGTGTTAACTATAATCCTGAAGGAATACAGAGGTGTGGCTACAAAACTGCCCCAATTTATTTTACTTGTAAGGACTTTTCTCTAGTGTGAATTCTCCAATGTCCAAGGAGAGCAGATCATCAGGTAAACATTTTCCACATTAGCTGCAATCACAAATCCTTACTCAAATGTGTACTCTTGTGTATTTAATGAGACTGGACTCATTCACTGCACTCATAGGCGTTTCTTTTGTGGACTCTCTGATGGTTACAAAGTGAGGAGCTTTGGCTAAATTTCTTTCCACATTCACTGCATCCATAAGGCTTTTCTCCAGTGTGAACTCTCTTGTGTTTCGTGAGACTGGAGCTTTCGGCAAAAGATTTGCCACATTCACTACACTCAAAAGGCTTCTCACCAGTGTGAGCTCTCTTATGAACACGGAATGTAGACCTGTAGGCAAATGACTTCCCACAATCACTGCATTCATATGGTCTTTCTCCAGTGTGAACTGTCTGGTGTGCAGTCAGGTGGTACTTTTTCCTAAAAAACTTCTGACAAACCTCACACTCATATGGCTTCTCTCCAGTGTGAATTCTCTGGTGTACAAGGAGGTGAGACTTAGTGTAAAATAATTTCCCACACTTCACACATGTATAAGGTTTTTCTCCAGTGTGAACTCTCTGGTGTACAAAATGGTGTGAATTGTACCTAAAAGTTTTCCCACACTCCCGACACTCATAAGGCCGCTCCCCAGTGTGAACTCGCTGGTGTTGAGTAAGCTTGCTCTTTTGACTATAACATTTCCCACATTCTCCGCACTTAAAAGGTCTTTCTCCATTATGAATTCGTTGATGTTGAATAAGGATGTACTTGTGACTAAAAGATTTCCCACACTCCCCACAGTCATAAGCTCCCTCTCCAGTGTGAACTCGCTGGTGTTGAGTAAGTTTGCTCTTTTGACTATAACATTTCCCACATTCTCCGCACTTATAAGGTCTTTCTCCATTATGAATTCGTTGATGTTGAATAAGGATGTACTTCTGACTAAAAGATTTCCCACACTCCCCACACTCATAAGCTGTCTCTCTAGTGTGAACTCGCTGGTGTTGAGTAAGCTTGCTCTTTTGACTATAACATTTCCCACATTCTCCGCACTTATGAGGTCCTTCTCCATTATGAATTCGTTGATGTTGAATAAGAATGCACTTCTGACTAAAAGATTTCCCACACTCCCCACACTCATAAGGCCGCTCTCCAGTGTGAACTCGCTGGTGTTGAGTAAGTTTGCTCTTTTGACTATAACATTTCCCACATTCTCCACACTTATGAGGTCTTTCTCCATTATGAATTTGTTGATGTTGAATAAGAATGTACTTCTGACTAAAAGATTTCCCACACTCCCCACAGTCATAAGCTGTCTCTCCAGTGTGAACTTGCTGGTGTAGAATGAGGTTACCCTTTTGACTCAAAGATTTCCCACATGCAGGTTTTTCTCCACTGTGAACTCGCTGATGGTGAACAAGGCTGCGCTTATGACTAAAAGATTTCCCACATTCTCCACACTCATAAGGTCTTTCTCCAGTGTGAACGCGTTGATGGCTCCTAAGATGTCCTTCTGAACTAAAAGATTTCCCACATTCTCCACATTCATGAGCTATTTTTCCAGTGCAAACTCTCTGATGATTACTAAAGCTATCATGTTTGCTAAAGAATTTCCCACATTCACAGCACACATAACATTCTTCTCTAGGGGGACATGTCTGATGCTGACCAAGAACATTTTTGGTGCTAAGATGTTTCATGCATCCTCCACAGCTGTAACGAGTTTTCCCCCTGTGAAAGGGTGATTCACACTCGGTTTTACTGTCTGACTTCTTCCCAGTGTGAATGACCTCTTGCTGAAGTAATCCTGACCTGGGCAAAAAGTCCTTAACACTCTGACTGAAGACAGATGACTCCTCTGACTCATAGAACTTACACCTCTTCACAAACAACGCTTCCTCAACACTGATTCTATAGGGTTTCTCTCCAATGTACTGATTCGTGTGCCGATGAAAGTTTGTACTGTCAAACGATTTACTCCCCCATGCCTCAAACCTGTGCTCTATCTGCTTGTGATGTGTTCCCTGATGATCTGCCATGTGCAAAATGTCCCCCAAGATCGAACCATGCATCTCACAGGGGTGAGCCTTCTTGGAGGACACACCTGCTGTAGGAGTCCTGACCTGAGTCTCTCTTTGCACATAAATACTCTGCTTAGAAGGTGCCTCCTCATCTTCCACTCCACACCAACAACCTGAAAGCAAGAAAATGCTGGTGAAGTGCATGTTAACTCTAGTGGGAAGGCACAGACCACCCACAAGTGTATCTGAGGAACTGAGGAATTACTCCAAGGAAATATTTGGAGGAACAGAAAGTTGGGTTCAGGTGGAAGACGGTGCTGTTATTACTGGAATGTAAAGGTCACAGAATGCAGGAGGCCTCAAATGTAAAGGACTCAATCATATACATAACACAGGGAGTATAGGCAGGGTCTAACACTTCCTGCATCTGCAAACCATTCATCTGGAGAATTTTATGTCCTGATAACGCGTGAGTGATGTAAACAGGGATAAGGAGAGGACCAAGAAAAGATGAGCACAACACAGCAGCTACTGGGCAGTGATGGTTGAACAATGTGCACACATTTGCTAACATAAAACCTGTATGCCAATACTGGAGACCACTGCAGATGAATATGTGAGTAAAATTATGATGAGTGGTCCAGAGACGTGAAGATTAGCTGGGGGAATAAATAACAGACTGCAAGTTTATGTACAAATCAATTAAAGGATTAAAAAATTTTAAAAAGAGTAAAGGTGACGAGGATTACAACTGACAATTCTGATACTCTTTTTTTTTTTTTTTTTTCGGAGTTTCACTCACGTTACCCAGGCTGGAGTGCAATGGCACCATCTCGGCTCACCGCAACCTCCGCCTCCTGGGTTCAGGTAATGCTCCTGCCTCAGCCTCCTGAGTAGCTGGGATTACAGGCACG